ATCTTCCTTAGGTGGCTGTCTAGTTGACATAGTGAGTTGTGTAGGGATCGTGCTAATCTTCTTTGTATCGTCGTTGTATCGTTCACCCTATGTGGCGGGCACTTGTTCTGGAGCTCTGCAGGGTGCCATGCTAATCTTCTTAATCTCACCCTCGGATGATCTTCTTAATGACGACTGTGTGCTGCTCTGATCTGCACATGATGTGTGGCATGCTTCAAGGCGGCCTACTCACGTGTCTGGGCCAATATTTACAGCGGTCGATTCACCACTGCTCAACATGCCATGCCACCGTGCGCGAAGCAATCAGACAGGCACACGACAAAAGCTGTGGTGCAGGCAACGGGAGGGTGGCACCTGCTGTGCTGTCGTCACTCTGCCCAGGAAGTCTGCTGGCCGGCCTGAGAGGAAGAAGCAGGAGGAATGACTATCACCCCTGATCTGCAGAGCCCTTGTTACGACTTCTCCATCCTCTTAAAACAACAAGATCTGCTGACCTGAATCCAGAATTTCTAATCTAGCTCACTAGGGCTTGCATCACCTTTCGTCCTGCTTGCGCAAACAATATTAATGAACCAACACCCTTTGAGTGTTGTCTAATGGCTGCCTAGACAGCGAAAATCGCATGCTGTCGTAAGTACCCTACACCTAGCCGACATTTTAAGACTAGTCACCCTATGACAATACAACGGCGGCTAGTCACCCTACAGGTTTGCGGCGAATGTTACATGCCGCCTACTGATTACAGCCCCTCCACCCGACTTAAAAAATCCCCCATCACAGGCAACAAACTCACCATTCTGAAAGCTCGGCCCTGCCCAGCTGGCAAGCCGACCAGCCGCGAAGAATGCCTGGGCTGCAAGGATCTGTGTTTCAAGAACCCCCTAGACCATCTTTAGTAGGGTAGTTGCAGCACTGGTTAGTTACATCACCCTGAAGCCGAAGCGCTGTCCTGACAGCAAATGGCAAAGTCACCCTTGCGGAAGAATGGATAATAATATTAACACCAAAGGGAAATCACTCACCGAAATAGGAGCCCTGAAGGGGTAGGCTTCATAACATAGGGTTTTGACGGGTTTTGACAAGCCATGCCTCAAACCCTAAGGCCTATATCAGAACATCCTAGACCTTGTCACCCTTGCAATTCAAGGACACAGTCGATGAGCAGTTGCACTGTTACTGTACGTTGCTGTTGTCGTGTTTTGAACTATAGCTCAGCTTCGGTACGGCCTTTTTCAAAAATGCAGGCGCCATCGGTTGCGCAGGGCTGTACAAGTGAGAAAATCACCCCTCAACGACTGGCCTGGGCAGCACTCACCCTAAATTATGGTCTGGTTTACAGTACCCGTAACATTGATATGTCATATTATTATCACCCGTCAAATCATAATAATAGTGTCACCCTTTGTCTAGTATATTATTATCACCCTTTGCCCTTGCCCTTCGTTGGCGGCGACTCACCCTGGTCGGCTGTTAAATCAACCTGGGGAGGGCCACCCTTGCCCTTCATGTCACCCTGAGGCGGCATTGGCATGGTGACCGGCATGGTACCCTCACCCAGGGGGAACGCGGCAGGCTTGCCTTTCTCACCCTGAAAGGGAGCCTTGCCCTTCGTCATGTCACCCTGGGCGGGCTTCCCCTTCTCAGCGTGGGACGCGGCAGCCTTGCCCTTCTCACCCTTGCCCCCCGGGTCACCCATGATGAAGGCACGAAGCTCACCGTTCTCTTGGTTGAGCTCGTTCACCCGAGTGTTGAGTCGGTCCATCTCGGTCCGCATGTTGGCCCTCACCCTTCTGTCGGTGTCGCAGATGTCGGCGAACTTCACATTCTCAGCGCGAATCTTCTCGTTCTCTTGTCTGCACGCCTTCAGGTCACCCTTGGCCTTGTCCAAGTCTCTCAACGCCAAAGCGTCCTGCACCGCCAGCTTTTTGGCGTGTTCACCTCTGAGATCTCTGACCTCGTTGACTCTGCGGTCCTGACCAGAGATGATTGCTTTGGGAGTGCGTTTAATAAAGACACCCTTCAGGATCTTTATTAAAATCTATTGATGTTCGTCAATCAATTTATCCGATTATCGCCATAAGCCTCGGCTTCGCTGAGCTCACTCCGGAACTGGAACTCCTGGTTCACCATTTTATCCTGCCAGGGGGGTTCAAGCTCTGCTCAACTAGCTAATTAAACGGGGCTTAGGGGGGGGGGCCAGCCGGCCTCCAACAGCCTCTTCTCCCTGTCACTCTGGACATCTTTTTCTGCCAGTTAGGCCTTCAGGCGACATTGTTTAGTTACCATGGGGTCGGGCTTTGGAGTTTTCAAAGTCTGGCCTGGAGGGCTGAGATCCGCTCCCCGTTCTCGTTCCCTTCCCTCACCCTTCTCTCCTAGCAGGGGTTCAAGTTTTTATTCGTTATTGTAATAAACCACCTAAGCCTATCAACAACGACGTGGGGTGCTACTACGAGGCACCGATTTTAAACTTTAGAATATCTACTGTTACTTCTATCCAACCCCAAAGCCGCACAACCTGAACCCCACAACCCTAACCTCGAGGCGCCGCAGCTGATCCCGCAGATCATCGATGGTCGTATTTGCAGCGGCGAAGAGTGACCCTCGCATCCGTGAGGTGGCGGTTGGAGTCCTTCCAGCAATGGAGAAGATTAGATGATAAGTTTCAGGGTGCAGGGTAATAATAATTATGAGGGTTTTAAGGGGGTCGGGTTTATTAAAGCTAGTGATCACAAAAGTCCTGGTCTGCTCGTCACCCTTGCCGCTGGCTTTGCCTTTGTGGCCGCCGTCCCAGCCGTAAGGGCCCCACTCACCAAGGCCCTTGCCCCAGCCGTAGAAGTCACCCTGGTGAGGGGGACCAAAATCTGGATGCCGCCAGTCCATGGGGCCGTAGTCACCCTTGCCATGGTGAGCCGGCTCCCAAAAAGTCGGATCCCAGCCGAACTCACCCTTGCCGCCAGAGTGAGAAGAAGCCGGATCCCAGGCCATGGCGTCACAGTGTCACCGACAAGTGATGACAGCGCCTACTTGTGTGTCTCTCACCCTCTCTGCCCTGCAATCATCATGAATCTCGCAATGTCCCTCGCCTTAACCTTATCTCAAAATAATCTGTCACTCTATCATCCTGAGGGAATTTCGAAACCCTCACTTGAGATCTCGCTCTGCGACAACATGGTTTGCACCGCGCACACACGGCCCTATCACCCTCACCTTTGACCTCAAGCCTTGCATTGCAATCACTCACTCTATTAAATTAAAGCAATACACGGCTAGTGCGGCCCAGGTTGCCGTGCGATCACCCTGCCGATATGAAGATGGCCAGCAGCCGCAGCCGTCTGCAACGGAAATGCAAAAGCCAATAACCATCACCCTACAATACAATGGCACAGGCATCCAGACATGACATGTCACTGCAGCAGCACTCACTCTGATGCAAAACACTTCCGAAACTGAAGCAACCTTCAATGCAAGCACTCTAATCACCCTTTTAATTTTAGCACTAGACTACCAACTCGGGCGAATGTATCTCCTGCCAAAACTTGTAGCTACTCTAGTCACCCTAGATAATATGAAACTTTAGCATGCATCTACAAGTCTACACAGTCACCCTAGGGCCCTAAAAGACAGCGAAAGTCTAGCATGCTGTCGAGTCACCCTACAACGGCCAGTTATCCTACAGGTTTGTGGCCGCCTACACCCTATGGCTAGACAGCGAATTGTCGCATGCTGTCGCACAACAACCTACACCCTACCGACATTTCTTACAATCTAGCTCAGTCTACAACGGCTACTCACCCTACAGGTTTTGCGGCGAATGTTGCATGCCGCCTTACCCTACACTTACACTTAAAACTAACTGCCCCCACCAGTGCTGACACTCCCTGCCTGGTCACCGATGATGTCGCCAGTGATGGCCGGGGTCACTCTTTGAAGGATTAATTAAACTAAGGTTAAAGCCTTAGGGGGTTGTGGGTTGAGGCGGTCGGGTTTGGGGTGGGGTCGAACTTTAAGGATAGGGCTTCGGGGCTTGGTTTTGTACATCACCATGAAGTCTGTAGGTTTTAGGGTGGGTGAGATTACAGGGTTATGTCGTTGAGAGGCTCAGTACACTTCTCGGTTTGTGCGTGTCATCCTAAAACACGGGCCTGAGTGAGCTACGGGGCCGAGCATTACTTCAACCAAAAAGAAGAGCGTCAACCCCTAAACCCATCAACCCCTCACCCATTAATTCAATTAGTTTGTATCACGATCACCAACTCCGAATCAACCCTAAGTGGAAATCTCTATCTACTGTATGCTGGAAAACCTGACTTAGAACAGGTCTGTTGTTGGGTTTAGGTCTTTAGGGCATTTTTGCGGTTTTAAGACTTAGAGTTTGTTACCAACAGTCACCATTGTTATGATTGTCTTATTGTCACACTGCTGGATTATTGGTGGTTCGGGCTTAGAGGTTTTGGGGGGCGAGTTTATTATTAGGGTTTCGGGACACTTCTCGATTTGTGCGCCGGCGTATTTGGTGCACTTCTCGGTTTGTGCCTGTCACCCTTGCACAGGGGCCTGAGTGGGCTACCCCCCAAACCTACTGACCCCTCTAACGAATTTATGTGAACCCAAACCAACCAACCCTCAGAATTATTTTCTTTATTTCACAAACCAAAACCCCCTCAACCCCAAAACTAATAATCCCTCAACTGACATCGAAGCGACTCCGAATTAGGTGCTGTTATTTAGGGTTTGGGGTTTAGGGTTTAGGGTCTGGGGTTTTAGGTTTTACTGTACAGGAAAGCTAAACATTACAATGCCAATATAGTAGCTTGAAATAAGTACCTTCCCCAAAAAGGGGATAAGGGTAGCACTGTTCTTCTCAGCTTCTATAGGGGCCTTCATCATTACCTCTTCTATTTTAGGGGCTCCTTATTACAATTGTAGTATTATAATGGCCCCCAAAACCCTATTCTAATTATGAAGGCCCTTATATTACATAAACCCAGCAGGTGAGCGGCAACTTGCCCAGATGGCAAGGAGATGATGCGCACCACCTTTCCAGCGAAGTCCTCCTTCTCCACGAAGCGGATGGTGGAGCCTACTGTAGTGGCCTTAATAGTTAGAATAGGGGTTTGGGCTCCTTTATAGTATAATTCTAATAAAGAACGCTAAGGAAAACATAGGTAATTATTTAGGCCTCTATATTAGTGGCACTTTGAAGATATTTGGGTCAGGGCCTAGGGTTTAGCACTTAGGCTTAGGGCTTTACAAGAATGGCCCCCGGTCAGGAATACCCTAAGCCCTCCTCAAGCCCTATCTGGATGGTCATCTGAATTGCAATCCTGGTACTGGGCGGGGCGTGGCTTGACTCTGCAATCTACAACCGATACTCAGATCTGAAATCAAAGGCACGCCAAAGTATCCAAGCTATTGAACTTTTGGTCCAATAAAAGCATCAGGCCCCACGAGACCAGATACCCGGATGATGCACATAGGGTTTTGGGTAATAAAGGAAGTCTCGTTCATCGAGAGTGGCTATAACAAAGGAAGTGTGCAGGGCATTCTCCTTGAAACGAATGATCTGATAGTTATCCAGATGCAAAACTTATGGCCCTTGGCGAAAGCAGTGTTACACGATGGTCTACTTCAGCCCATCAGAGCCCGTTATGAAAGCCCCCATGAGCACCACAAACACTTACCAAACCTTTAAGACGGTAAAACTATACATACATACATACCAAAAAACATAGAGAAAACATAAGTATACGGATTTACAGCCGACAGAGCATGTAATATATATATATATATAGATATATGTATATATATATATGTATATATATATATATGCACATAAACATATAATTACAACGGTTAGACAAGAAAAACCGAGTGAAAGAGCGGTGGAGCCACTTTTTGAAACGATTGCTGCAGGCTTCTGACCTGGATCTCATGCTTTGCAGCCGGCCCGAAACCCTGAATCGTGAACCCTTCTGTAGGGTCACTATAAATTCTGTATTAGGGTTGATATGAAGGACGTACCGGAAAGTAGAGTAATTTGTGGTAGTGCAGGGTAAAGACTAAATCCTAGGCCCCAAACCCTGAATTCCAACCCCGCATGCTGCCTTCGCAGCCGGCCGCAAACTGTTGGAAAGCCTCCGCGATCGCTAGAGAAGACAGCTTGCCTCAGCAAAAGCCAAAAGAGCCCCGTGATACAGCCTGATAGAGGGGCCTTAAGAATCAGAATAAGGTTTTGGGGGCTCATTATACTATAACCATATTGAGGAACCCCAAAATAGTATAGGTTAGAAGGTGCCCCCACCCATAAATAGTGGTATAATAGGAATATAATAGGGCCTTAATATAATACTTATAGTCACTATTACAGGGTGGGGGCAGCTTCTAAAGTACAGGTAATTATTTAGACCCCTACAGAAGGGGCCGGGCATTACGAATTCAAGCAAGGGCTTTGGCTGGACTATTCCGAAGTCTCCAAGGGTAAAAGGAGGGACCCTTAATAAGGACCCTTAATATAGCTGTGATATACCCATTATATAGCCCATTATAGGGTAGGGGTCCCCATTAAGGGTCCCTCGTTTTCCCCTTTGAATGTCGGCTCACGAACCAGGGACCCGGCATTCTTCCAGGTGGTAGACACCTCCAGGCTTCGGGTTGTTGTCTACTATTTGCTTAAGAACTCCCCCCCCCCCAAAAAAAAAAAAATATATATATATATATATATATATATATATAATCCCTATATTATCCCTATAAGGAATATAATTTATATTTTTTGAGGGTTCTTAAGCAAATAGTAGTAGTTGTTGTTGAGGACGAGAAGTGCCCGCGGGCAGTTAAGCTGGGGTTACAATGTTGCTGGGACCTCACCGCGCAGGTGTAGGGCAGCAAGTTTCGGGTTTAGGGTTTAGGGTTTACGGTCTAGGGTTTCGACACTGAATGGTGTGAGAAGGGGGCACAGTACGGTTGCATGCATTGCATATAAACAGGCTATAAAGAGTGTCCAGATACTTTCAGGATAGTTGTGGGGCTCTGTAAGAACACCTCTTGTTCATGCTTTAGGTGTTACACTTTGATGAGTCATCCGATGGGTTCTTGCTTATCCTTCTGTACTTTATGTGGTGTGATCCGGGCTTACGCTAAAGGGCCCCCCTAAGCCCTCGAACCCACAGCATTCCTTGTTTGATGGCTCGCTGTAATACCCAGAGACTCCGAAACCCCTACATAAAGGAATATTTCAACTCATAATACGAAAAATACCAGTAAGGAATATACTGACTACTATATGGATCGTAATACATAAGGATCCCCCTGTAACTTCGCGTAGATTCAGTAATTTCGTTTTGGGGGTTTGGCGACCCCAGCCGATGAGAGGAAAGGCAGCAAGGCCCCGCAAGTACCCCGGTAGACCTCATATGGGTGGTTGTCAAAATTGTGGCCCCTTTTTGGGTCCATATTATAGTACCTCAGCTAATATTTAGGGTACCCAACAAGGAACCATAATTTGGACAACTACCCATATCCTACCTCTCGGAGCTCGGGGTTCCTGTCTCTAAAGGGTTGGCGGTTTAGGGTTGGGCGTTTAGGCTTGAGGTTTGGGGTTTAGGGACCTCTCAGAGATTAGGGTCCCGGACTACAGGGTTTAGGGTTTAGGGTTGGGTGGGTAGGGACCTGTCATAGTTTGCATTGTTAGGGTTCCAGCTCTGTAAGGTTGAGGGGTTAGGGTTGGGGGTTTGGGGGGGAGGGACGGACCTAAAAGGGACTCTAATTGAGAGAACCGCCTAGGGCCCCTTCACTTCTTTCTGAAACTCCAAGATGAGCTACACCCGGTGAAGTAGACCTCCCTTTCTCGGAAAGAAAGTATCAAAGGGGAAAAGGAGGGACCCTTAATGGACCCCTACCCTATAATGGGCTATATACTGGGTATATAATGGCTATATTAAGGGTATATACCTAATTAGGGGTCCTTATTAAGGGTCCCTCCTTCTCCCCTTTGAAAGTAGGGATCCTAGTACTAAGGGCCCTTGAAGAGCAGCGGTTCGTTAATCATAACCCGTAACCCGAAACTCGACACCCGAAACCCTAAACCCTAAAGCCATAAACCCCTCAACCCGAAACTCTAAACTGCACCCTAAACCCGAAACCCCAAACACCCGAAACCCCTAAACTGAACCCCCCCGAAACCCGAGGCTGAAATCCCGGTGCTGGAGCCTTCCAGCTGCATCTGCCGCTCTCGCAGATTATACCACCAGGAGCCTCCCGGAGTCTCCAATATCCCTCAAGTAAGGGATACTCCTTAAGAACACTAGGGTTCTTAATATGGGTTAAGAAATATTCGTTAGTTAAGGGATATTCCTTACATTACAGTAGGGTGCTTGATATGATTTAAAGACTATTCGTTAATTAAGGGATATCGGAGTCCCTGGGCTATTCGTGCAGGGTTTAGGGCTGTGGTTTAGGGAGTTTTGGGCTTAGCGTTTCTATCTTCGGGTTTGGGGTTTAAGGTTCCTTCCCTGAAATATTCAAGCCCGTTTAATTGTTACTTGGAAGGGCAGGGGACTTAGTGAGGGCTCTTAAAGGGCTCCTTAAAGGGATCTATAGGGTTCCTTAAAGGGGTCTATGGGGTTTAGGGTTTAGGGTCTACTTGGAAGGGTAGGGGATTTTGTAAGTAGGTTTTAGGTAGAGTTAGAAGTACCCTAAATGGAGTTACCCCAATTATAACCCTACTTATAACCTACTTACTAAGTCCCCTGCTCTTCCAAGTACCGCTGGCTACTTTTGTCTATCCCTGCTCATGCACTGCTGGCTGCCCTCGGATTTATCTAAGTCGCGAAAAAGCTGAATACGCAGCTTTAGCCTGTCGTTGCATATGTGAACTCAGTTAAAACGCTCCTCCAATCCCTAACTAACCCGAAACTGAAAACCCAAACCCAACTGAGAAAAACATCCCTCCAGAAAGCTGAACCTAAAGTCCTTGCAAGGGTACAAAGGACCTATTGATTGGGTCATTGGGTTTTGGCCAGTAGTGTTGCGATAAGTATTTGGGAGACTCTCTGCATCTATACGCTTGTGAATCAGGCACCCTAAATCCTAACCGATACACCCTTGTGTGAGAAAGTGTCTTCCATGTCACTGTCACCCGAACTCTCTATATCCCGAAAGTGTCCAGGACGGACAGTCTTGTGTGGCTCAGTCTTAGAAGAATTTCTTGCTCTGTTGGCTCGAGGTTTACTCCCCCTTCTGCGCCAAGCCTTGGTAAACTGCAAGCTTCCACGGCATGCGCCACTGCTGAATGACGGCTTTGGGCGAGTCTGCCTCTGGAGATTAAAGATACTTTAGGGTCTACTTTTTGTGGAAGTAGGGTTTTAGAGTTGAGCGGTCATGGACTCAAGGTATAATTACGGAGGATTTTGGTTGCCGGTTTAGGGATTCTGGATCCATGGTTTAGGATTTACGGCTTGGGGCTTGTAAGTCTAGTCTAGAGGCTATATAGTTAACCTATGGTTCCCCGATGCCACACCTTAAATGCCTCAGCCCTGCAGACAATCCTGGAGTCCCTGCAGAAGGCCGAGGCCACGAATCTTCAATAAACTCGCAACCCTAAAATCTGAACCCTGCAAGATTCAGGGCCTACTTGGAGGGTCGGGGGGGTTAGTAACTGGTTATTTTAGGACTTGTAAGTACCATAACCCCAATTAGAGTCCCTTTTAGGGTACTTATAAGTCTACTTACTACCTACTTACTAAGTCCCCCGACCCTCCAAGTAGGGTTGGCTCCTGGCTTGCATCCAAAATCTGCAGCCGAGTTGCTGCCAGCTCTGTGTTTCCACCTGCAGGCAAGCCAGTGAGAATCATGCCCCCTTGCAGCCCTAATATAGTAAAATGAACAAACCGCAGGCCAAAACCCGAGTCCATCGTAAACCCTAAGCCCTACAACCTAGACCGTGAAACCTTAGTCTAATTCCCAAGGTGCCCATAGTATAATGCATCTAAAGGCTAGACCGTGAGAACCTGCGCCAATAAAACTTGATATTCCGTATCATGCTCCTTGCTTGTCTAGGATACCCAGTAACCTAAGAATAAAAAGGCCTCTCTTTTTGGTATTGGGTAACTTTATAAGGAACCTAGGACTACAAAAAGGGAATAAGGGTACTACTGGGCATCCTAGTTGTTGATAGAAACAGGGAGTCAAGGATTCCGGGTTGAGGTACTCTCTGCGTGGCATGGTCCTTCACTGGGCTTCTTAAGCAACCAGGGAGAAAAAGTATAAACTTCTATTTCATAATGGCTCCTGTAAGAAAAAAGCATGAGAGTGTGGTACTCCAAAGCCCAGATCACCACTATTGCAAATCGGAAAACCCAGTTCTAGTTCCAAGACACTCCCGAAAACCCTGAACCCCAAAACACCAAACCCTGTTAGGACCCGCCGAGGTCTCGCTGTCAACAAGGCCTAATGCCGAAACCACAAACTCAACCCGAAGAAACCTAAACCACGACCCTAAACCCTAAGCCTTAGCCTGAACCCCGAAACTGACACACCAAAACTCGAGGGGGTTTAGGGGGGTTTAGGGGGTTTGGGGGGTTTAGGGTTTCTAAAATCTGAGCCCCAAAACACCAAACCAACGTGACATGGCTTAGGAATCAGCGCGCGGGCTCCTGTGGTACCCGTGACCCCGCGGTCCTACACACCAAACACTACCTGGACTTTGAAAACTCAGCCCTTTTGTAACCTACATAACTAGACTAGACCCAAGAGTATCCTAGGAAAAAACAGGGTGCCCTTTTTGGTTTAAATGGGCTTGCAAGGTAACCTGAAGACTAAAACAGGGAATAAGGGCCTGCTCTAGGTCCTCAGATCTATACTGAACTTAGAACCCTAGCAAAAAATGTAATTTAAGCTGTTTCTTAGGGATTATAATAGCCAACAACTGAAAAACTGTTTCTAAGTACCCCTAAGAGATAAGGTACTTACAATGAGGAGCCTAATGCTGGCAGGTTATTTCGGGCTCACGTAAAGCCGTAAAGCTACGGCGCAGGCTTCGGGTTCCCTTTCTGCTTGGTGTAAGAGCCTGATTAAGAAACCTTGGGCCTTTATTCGGGTTCCTTATACTAGGATACCCAGTAACCTAAGAATAAAAAGGCCTCTCTTTTTGGTATTGGGTAACTTTATAAGGAACCTAGGACTACAAAAAGGGAATAAGGGTACTACTGGGCATCCTAGTATATAAGTCCTACTATTTTGGGGTCATAAGCCCAGAGTTTCTTAATCAGGTTCCTACATTAGAACCCAGTGCTCCTGCCGGAAGTAAGGCTGGGTTTTGGGTGTCAGGCTGCAGAGTTCGGGGTTTCGGGACCAGTATCGAGGGGACCAGAGAACAAGAGATGCCAATGCCAATATCTTTCAATACCCTCAAGCTAAACCCTACGAAGCAATCAATCAACCGGCGGCCACCCTAACCCACCACCCACTGATCCATCCACCCAACCAACCAAACAACCAATGACACAATCGCTCCGCCAAACATATATGATGAGCATGCATATATGTAGGTAGGAATGCATATGTATATACATATTCGTGTGTACCTAATTTTCGGTTAGCGTCCTTATTTAACTATCGGTTTACTTGCTTACTTACTTTTTGTTTCCCTCAATAGCGATGTCCATGCATTGCTATAAGGACGTGTGAATAAGGAACCCGCCGTATCTTTACGCACAAAAGTGACCAGATCTGGACCCTACACTGGTCCTAGTGGGGCCTCAATAATTAGAATAGAGCGGCTTTGGGGTATATTATACCATAAACATAGCAAGAAATAATGTAGTAATTATGAAGGCGCCTACACTAACCCTCTGCAAACACGGCGCCCTTGAGCCCAGGAACCTACGAGGACAGAGTCCGTGCCACGAAAATGCACCAAGTCGACCAGAGAGATGTTCGTATGCCTGAGGCTTAGAGTTTAGAGTTTAGGGTTCTGGGCTTTAGGGTTTAAGGTGTAGGGGTTTCGGGTTTAGGGTTTAGGGCTTCAGGGTTTATTGGAGGTTTGGGGTTTAGGGTTTAGGGCTTTAGGGTATAGGGGTTTGGGGTTTAGGGCTTATGGCATAGAGTCCGGACTTTAGGGACGAATTTAGGGTTTAACTAGACCCAAGGGTAGCCTAGGAATAAAAAGGGTGCCCTTTTTTGGGTTAAAGGGGCTTCTAAGGGAACCTGAAGCCTAAACAAGGGGAATAAGGGCCTACTCCAGGTCCTAGTTAAGCAGTAACGATTAGGCCGATGTTCGTTGGCCTTTCAACAGGTTTCTACGGGATAATAAAGGGGTTTCTATGACAACCATATGTGAGTATCCGAAAATAGGGGACCCTAATCTAGCACCCAAAATAGTAGGATCCTTATTGCGAGGATCCAATTTAATGTACTGAACCCGAAACTAAATCCACAGAGTTTGCGGTTTAGGGCTTCCCACTACACCGTGAGCTAAACCTGTGCCTATGAGCACAGGTGGGGTTCAGCGTGCGGTGCATGGGTGTCTAGTACATCTCTAATACATCTAATACACTAGTTGCGATAGCATTTTGGGGAAAGTATAGCACTTTCTGAAGGAACAGCAGTATTGTCAAGTGCTGAGGCTTCTATATTAGGGGTCTGGGACTTGAGGTCCAGGCTTGATTTGGGATTTCTATGGGTTTAGAATTTGGTATGGAGGCTTTGGTTTCTGTGGCGCCCCTGTAGGGTTTAGGGTTTAGGGTTTTGTGTCTAGGGTTTAGTTAGGAGGGCCTCCTCATCCTTGGACTACGTGGAACAGCAAAAAACCCGGAGCCGCAGAGCCCTAAAGCATCTTAAACCTTCACCCCGATGACAATAAACCCCTAGGCCCTAAACTGAACCCTAAACCCTGAACCCGTGAACCTAAAGCCTCGGCCCAATAACCATAAACCCCTAAACCCTACTAGCAAACCCTCAACCCTAAACCCAAGCACCCAGAACCCCAGTATGTACACAGTGCTCCAAGCCCTGAGCCCCGAATCCTAACCCCTCAACCATCCTAAATCATACACCCTAAACCCGCAAAACCCTAAACTTCCAAACCCTCAACCCCTAAACAACCCTCAACACAGACCAGGCCCATATACTCCTCAGACTTCCGAGACACGCATCCGTCACGGGCACTGTCATACGCCCGCGGACATCCCATCTGGCATCGGGACTTTTGTTATTGGGTTTAGGGTTTAAGTTTTAGGGCTTAGGGTTTCGGGTTTAGGTTTAGAGTTTTTGTTAGTGTATCGGGGCTTTTCCCTAGGGCTTGAAGGAATCATTTATTAAGGCTGTTGGGCCCCAAAACCATACTGGATAAGGCTTTGGGGCTATTTTGAGTCCCAGGGTTTGTTATTGGGTTGAGGCTTTCGGTTTAGGGTCCTTAGAAGGGGAGGCCTTTTGTTGTTGAGTTGAGGGCTTAGGTTCGAGGTCCTTTGAAGAAAGGACCCGACGGTTGAGAGATGAGGGCTTCTTGACTACTTGGAAGGGCAGGGGACTTAGTAAGTAGGTTATAAGTAGAGTCACAAGTACCCTAAATGGAGTTACCCTAATTATAACCTACTTATAACCTACTTACTAAGTCCCCTGCCCTTCCAACTAGAAGCCGAAGTTTCAACTGAGATCACTCGTTGCTCAAACCCTGAGCCGTGCTGTAAAGTTCAGGGCTTAGCGTTATCTAAGCCGAATCTACAAAGGAATGAAACTTCCGTCATGCTCGGAATGACTCTCTTGCTGAAGTGCGCATTGCTTCAGTAGGGGGTTGAAGGCGGTCTCCGGGGTGCAGGATTCAGGTGGCATGGAACAGCGCAACACCTCCTTAGGGTCCAGAGTCGAGTGCTTTTGGGCTTAGTTTAGGGTCCGGGGCCTAAACCTCAAACCTAAAGGCAGGGAAGTGAAACTGACCTTCCTGTGACTGCCTGCCCGATCCCTCTGTCTTCACTGTGTTCGCGGTGGAGGGGGCGCAAGGCCGTAACGGTCAGGGTCTTGGGTTTAAGGTTTAGGGGCTTACAGTTTCGGGTTTTACCCGAGCCCCGAAACAGCAACAATAGCCTGCAATGGCAGGAACGCCTGCTTGCGCTCGTTTGCATTCCCGTAGAGGAGGAAACTGAGGAATACATGTTTCGACTGGTGGTTAGTCCTCCTCATCCGCTGCTTCCTCCACCAATTGCCAACTGAAGCCGAGAGGCAATGAGAGCATGTGGGGACTTTCGTAGTGGGCATCAAGCCTCAGGCAGGCACCACTAAACTCATCACTAAAACCCTAAATCCTCAAACCCCCTGGACCCTGGAGACCTGTAACAGTATAGCATCCGACAACTCCGCTCACCCAGTGTACTCTACCAGAACCCACTTATTTTTGAAAGGTTCCCGATAAATTCCATATCAGGGTTAATCACAAAAACCTACCAAAAAGCAGCTCAAGGTGGCTTCAAGTACATTGGTAGATTGAGGTAGACCTACCCAGAGGCTCCATTGTAGTTCCTTTTTGGGATTACCTTGTGGGATTCTAAACTATGCCCCCAAAAAGGGACTACTATGGAGGCTTAGCGTAAAAACACACCCATGCTTTAGGGTTTAGGGGTTAAAGGGTTTAGGGGTTGGGGTTTAGGGGTTGTGCGGCCTTGTCTCAGAATCCAGGAGAACCTACGGTTTGGGACGTCGGGTGAACTGTGCGGTTTTTAGGGCTTTAGGGTCATGGTGAAGTGAGGAGGCTCTGTGGCTTTTGTGTGAGAAAGAATAGAGATCTGAAGAATTAGCAATTAGTACATCGCCTTCATAATCCCTGCACAGTAGTATCGACGTACTGTAGGGGCATTAATAGTTAGAACAGTGCTTCGGGGCCGATTATACTATAACTATAATGAAGAATACCACAATGGTATAGGTAATTCGTAGGCCTCTATAGCACTATACACTATACAATACCCCAAACTAATACTCCGACTGCACGTGAAACCCTCGACCCTGAACCCAAGGTTTAGGGTTGAGAGTCTCATGGGCTTCTAGGATACCCAGTAACCTAAGAATAAAAAGGCCTCTCTTTTTGGTATTGGGTAACTTTATAAGGAACCTAGGGCTACAAAAAGGGAATAAGAGTACTACTGGGCATCCTAGTTAGGGTTGAGAGTCTCATGGGCTTCAAGCAAGAGGCAAAAAGAAACCATTTGGTGAGGCCACCAGCGGTCCTGGTTCTACGGCACGGTTCAGGTAGGGCTTCGGGGTTTAGAGTCTTGGGGTTGGGGGTTGAGTGTTTCGGGTTTAAGGTTTAGGAAATATAAGACTACTGAAAAGTATATGTGGGACTCACGAAATGCCAAAGTTCCAGGCTGAAAGCCAGCAAAGGTATAAATTAATTATGGCATGGTGTGGTATACGTCCTGGTCACAGCTGTTATTAGGAACATAAGAGGACAGACCCTACATCTTTGAACGTAGTACAAAGCGGAGTCTCCGAAAATCTGAGACAAATACGACTATACTACGGTTGATAAAGAACCTGCATTACCCATAAGAAGGAATACACTCCCATAGTTTAAGGGCCCTAAGGTAATGCAGGATTTATATCATCAACCGTACTATACACCTTCATCGACAAGATCCGCCTTTGTGGTGAAGCCCGAAGCCTCAAACTGCCAACCCTACCTTAAGCCAGGAACTCCTAAAAGCCCTAACCCGGCAAAGCTTTTAGCCCCAAAACCACCGACACCAAGAACCCTTTCGAAAGCCCCCTTTGCCCTACTAAAGCGAGGGAGATCTCATACCCAAAACCACCAGAAAACACGAACTCTGAAAATGTCCCGAGCCCAAACGGTGCCTAAATTGAGCATGCAGGGTTCAGGGAATGGGGCCTCCCAGGTCTTTATAGTTGAAGGTCTAGTGTCTCGTGTTTTAGGGTTCCGAAACTGCATGTGGAGATCTATAGACTTAAGGTCCTAATTTCAGGGCTCAGAGGAAGGAGTCGTGGGGCTTTAGAACGGAAACTTTCAGACTGAGTGTTGCAATGCAGCCGCCTTAACCTCAACGCCTCCAGAACCTAAGAACCCTGTCCAACCCCAGAATCCCAAAACCCAAAACACCACCCCCTGATAGAAACCCAATACAGCCCTGTGTAAGAATCCTTGAAGGACCCTTTAAGGTGCCTTCTGCAGAGCTCGCTACATCCCTGGAACTTCCTGCAAGGAACCCTTTCGGAAATTTAAAGACGCCAAGAATCCACCGACGACTCTGTGAAGACCAAGTTGAAAGCCGCTTCCTTGCGGAGAGGCTCAGGGTCTTAGGGTTTACAAGTAACATAGGGGCCATAATCAGTAAAGGATTTCCTAGGATTCCTTTAAGTTGGGGATTGAATATAGGGGCCTTAATCATCACAATGAGGTTTTGGGGGCACGAAATACTACAATTACTTGTAATAAGGACGCCCCAAATAGTATTGGTCCTGTCTGTGGCCTGTTCAATTCAGGTAGCCTGATATGAACCACAGCATGTAGGGGCAATTGCATAAGTCGGAGCCGGCCGCCTGCGAGGTTGAGGGTGTAATTAACCTGAACTGGGGACCTGGTCGGAAAAGCAAGCAACATGCCTCAGTCAAGCCGAAGAAAATCGATCTTATGACAGGTTACCTAGGATACCCAGTAACCTAAGAATAGGAAGGCCTCTCTTTTTGGGATTGGGTAACTTTATAAGGAACCTAGGCCTACAAAAAGGGAATAAGGGTACTGCTGGGCATCCTAGATTTGATTTAGCCCAATTCCCGTCAAATCCGGACGCCCAGGGGAGCGCAGCTACAAGAAGTCGCGGGGCAAGATTTCGTGCTGCCCAGATTCGCGGGAAACGCAGGTCAAGAGGAAAAGCCAGAATGACCTTGCTTGCTGCAACCTCTACAGCAGGTCGACAAAAGTTGGAACATGGTTTGTCTCGGACGTAGCAGGTTTCAAAAAAAAGCTATGCAGGAAAGGGTCGTTGGGCTTGGAATATTGGCCGTTTAACATAACTGCAGAACAGGCAATATGATTATTAGTCTGTCTTACTATGAGCACAAAAACCTGAATAGTATGATCATGACTATCATAACTGAGCCCGCTCAGAGCCACTGTCGAGATGCGTCTGCGGCCCCCTGCAGCCCCGGAGAAGTCTGCAAGCTTGCTTCCTCCGCACCTTTGAAAGGATTCCCGTGGACTGGGGTTTAGGGTTTAGGGGCGCTTGAAAGTATCGTGGTGGACTAGGGGTTTAGGGTTAAGGGGCGCTTGAAAGAATCGTGGTGGACTAGGGGTTTAGGGTTTAGGGCCTACGGCTTACAATTGGTCTTTGATGCTGTGTTTAGAGCCTTGCACGAGCCCACATGCACATGTACGTAGACAGACCCAAACCCAAACCCCCGCCCGCACAACCCTAAACCACAAAAACCCTGAAAACCCTCAGCCCACAACCACAACACCTCTAAACCCTAAGACCGCTAAAGCAACAACTGTACACAGCCCAAGGCCTCAACACGGTTTAGGGTTTAGGGTTTAGGGTTTACGGAATAGAGATGCAGGCTTTGGGCTCATCCACAAAAGCCCAACCTTTCTAAGATAGACCATACACATAGAGCCCGAATAGCCCTTGTCAGCTCATCCCTGACCTCAACCCGTAAAAGGATCTAAAGCCAGAAACAGCACAAAGGCATCCGACCATTGTACGGGTTCAGGTGAGTTGTGTCTTCAAAGGCTCTGCTTTGTGGACTTCGCGGCGGCCTGTGTAAGAACTCTAAACCCAAAACCGTTAAACCCTAAACCCTAAACCCTAAAAACCCTGAAACCCTAAACCCCTAAACCCTAAACCCTAAACCCCTAAACCCTAAACCCTAAACCCTAAACCCTAAACCCTAAACCCTAAAAACCCTAAAAACCCTAAACCCCTAAACCTTAAACCCTAAACCCTAAACTCTAAACCCTAAACCCTAAAAACCTAAACCCAAAACACTCAAACTCTAAACCCTAAAACCACCTACACCCTCAGACCCCACGACTCCCTAAACTCTGAACCCTATACCTTAAAACCTTACGTTCATAAGACCCTAAGCTCTAAACCCTAAGACCCTGAACCCCATAACTCTTCACCTCAGCTAGGATACCCAGTAACCTAAGAATAAAAAGGCCTCTCTTTTTGGTATTGGGTAAGTTTATAAGGAACCTAGGCCTTCAAAAAGGGACTAAGGGTACTACTGGGCATCCTAGCCTCAGAGTGACCCAATGGTTCAGCCCGGTGGCTGTTCGCCAAGTTCGCCAACACGAAGGCTTCATCTGCTGAGAAGGTCCAGCCCCGGATGCTGCCTTCGGGTTTATAGGGCTTCGGGTTTAGGGTTAGGGTGCTTTTGATGCCTTGGGGTTTATAGGGCTTAGGGTTGTTGGCTTAAGGCTTGAGGGTTCATGAACTTCAAGAGATAAAGGTTTAAGAGCCCTTGGATTTCTTTTCGTCGCCCCTGTTTCCTTGCGCCTACACGGTCGGAAATGCCTAGGTAGACGGGACACTCATGCATGGCAGCAGGGACACGCAGCCCTTGGGTTTAGAGCTTAGGGTTGTTGACTCTGTGCTTGAAGGTTTATATAGGAAGTAAAGTTTAAGGGCTGCCTGTGGGTTTAGGGCATAGGGCCTAGGGCTTAGGGTTGTTGACTTAGGGCTTGAGGGTTTGGGAGGTAAGAGTTTAAGGGGCTGGCTTTGGGCCGGCGAAGGGTTTCGAACTCGGGCCGCAGCGCTTCGGAGATCTCAGGGCTTGGGAAGTTGAGGGGTTCGGGAGTTTGGGTTTACGGTAAAAGCCAGAAAGTTGGAATATGGATTAATGGTAGGATCCCCTATAATTTACCTTAAAAGGGTTACGATAATGATATTCCAACTTTCTGGCTTCTACTGTAGAGTTTGGTTCCTGTCGTTCCCAATGCTTTCTTTGAGGGCTTCGTGTCTTGGGGATGTTTGGGATTATGAGGATTTGGTTCGCATGGTTCGAGGTCTCAACAGAGGTTGAGGTCAAAGTAGTCTAGGAATACATGTACCCGGCTGGACTCTGTGCACACAAGAAGACAATATGTCACCCAGACAAAGCAACACCCCTTACTCACTGAAGGAATACTGTATACCCTGGGCTATCATAGTAGGTCAGGCCGGATAGGAATCCCCTATATAATGACTTAAGGGCGGATCCCTTAATTACATCCTATAGTGAACCCCAGAAAGTTGGAACATGGCTTTAGGAGGATTAGTGCTAGGATCCCTTATACTTTACCTCAAGGGCACGAGGATAATGATGTTCCAACTTTCTGGCTTCTACCGTAAACCGACACAACACCCCTGAATGGAACCCTTAAAGGAACCCGAAATCCTACGCCTAAACCCCTAAATGGAGCCCTTAAAAAAGCAGTTTTAAAAGGAAGCCTGTAAAACCCCTGAACTGGGTGTCGATCTCAACAGTACAAAACTTAGGGCTCTATTAGACAACAAAGGATATTACAACTTCTCCCAGATCGATACCTAGTCAAAACCCCCCAACCCTAAACCCTAAACTAGCCCTGAACCCTAAACCCTAAACCGCTGGTATGCACATCTCGCTGCCGGGCCTGCATACTTGAACGTGGTCGCTGCTTGCTGGTCACCATCCCAGAGCTCGGCGATGCCCGTGTTCCCACCTTAGAAGTTAGGATTGTATAGGGCTAGTATAGGGTTCAAGGTTTAGGGTTTAGGGTTTAAGGTTTAGGGTTTTGAAGTTTAGCGTTTAGGATTAGGGTTTAGGGTTTAGGGTTCAAGGTTTAGGGTCTAGGGGCCCCTTGGGGATGTAGACCCTCTCAATAAGGTCCCTTTACAAAGAGTTAGAAGTAGGGTTTAGAAGGGTCCCGTTTGAGGGGTCTCCCGAGTACTACCTAGGACACCTAGTCTGGGGATTAAGGTTTTTTGAGACGCATTGGGCTCAGGGCCGTTTCCTTCAGAGGGCCCGAAGTATCTGTATAGTAGGCTGCAAAGTTCAGAAATTAGGAACTGTTAGTCAGTTCTGATCTGGGAGGCATCCCCCATGACAGTACCTAGTACCCTTTGGGTTAAGCTTTAGTGAGTATAGGCTTTACGCGATTTTAAGGCTGTAGGGCTGCTCGAAACCACACTTGCCACTATGGAGCCCTGCGGCAGCATTGGGAGTTCTCTAAACTGGGATCCCTTTAAAGAGACTTACTACAAGCTAGCACATGCTACAATGTCGTAGCACGCCTTGATTGGTCTAATTGGGGGGGGGTGAGGCTTTCGGCACTTCGGGTGTAGGAACTCAAGAAGCTAAACCCTAAACCCCTAAACCATAAACCCGCCCAGAGACTCCAATATCCATTAAATACGGAATATTCCTTAAATCGTATTGAGGATCCTAGTATAATTTAAGGTATATTCCTTAATCAAGGGATATTGGAGGCGGTAACCCTCAACCCTAAAGAGTTTAGGGGTTTGCGTCTGTTTTGCAAGGGAGAGGCTTCGGATTCAGTCCATGTTTACGTGGCCCAGCCAAAGTACACCACGCTCGCGATTCAAAAGCCATGCTACAAAATCCCTAAACCCAAACCCCCCCCCCCCCCCCCCCCGCAACGGACAGTCTGAGAGTCCCATGCAGCTTACTGCAGAATCCATCTTGAACGAAAGCTCAGGCATTGCAAGCATTCATCTAAAAACATATGGTTCGGAGATGAACTACGGTCTAGGGCTTAGGGTTATCCACATATGTAAGTATATATGCACATGGTACTCTGCAGGATGGTACCAATAAGTTGCAGCAGAGCCTTACCCCTGAAACTTGAAACCCTCAGCAACCTGAAACCCTTAACCCACAAACTTCAAAGCCAGCAGAACCCCTAAACCATAAACCCTAAACCCTAAACAACCCCAGGGTTTAGGGGTCTAGAGTTTAGGGTTTAAACCCAGCCAAGTCCACCCCAACACCAATATGCTGAAACGTACGAGCTTCTGGCCCATAGCCCTAGACCTCACCCCAACCTTTGCAATCAGCAGACCCTGAACATCCCTGAACCCATCGGAACCCTACGTCCGAAACCCCCAAAACTCCCACAAAAACATATGACTAATCCTGTGCCCCAAGATCCAGCCCTCCAAACCCTAAACCCTACACTCAAAACCTCTGCATACGTAGAAAACAAGAACGTCAAGCCCCTAAAGCTTTTACGGACTACAAGCCCCTAAACCACCCCCAAACCTCGCTTAAACCCTAAACCCCAAGCCCAAAACCCCAAAACGCAAAACCCTAACTCTAACTCCCTAAACCCTAAACACCCTCAAACCCTAAAGGCCCTAAACCCCCAAACAAAATACACCCTGAACCCAGTTAAACCCTACCCCCCCCCCTCCCTCCCTCTAAACCCTAAACCCTAAACCCTAAACCCTAAACTCCAATTCCCTAAACCCTAAACCCTAAACCCTAAACCCTAAACTCCAATTCCCTAAACCCTAAACCCTAAACCCTAAACCCTAAACCCTAAACCTCATCGAGGCGCCACTCAAGAGGAAGCCTCCAGAGGCCGAGAACTGTAGGTGAGTGACCTTGCTTGGAGGGGGCTTTGGGGGACTTAGTAAGGGCTCTTTAAAGGGCTCCTTAAAGGGATCTATAGGGTTCCTTAAAAGGGATCTATGGGGTTTAGGGTTTAGGGACTTAGTAAGTAGGGTTATAAGTAGGGTTATAATTGGGGTAACTCCATTTAGGGTACTTATAACTCTACTTATAACCTACTTACTAAGTCCCCTGCCCTTCCAAGTGGCTGACTTCCCAGACCTTCGGGAGGATCCAAAAAGTCCTTAATGGGGGTTCCTATAAAGTACCCTTAGTAGTATAGGGCCCCAAATTAGGGGATCTACTTTCTAGATCCTCCCGGGGGTCTGACTTCTGAACCCCTCCGCAAAGTTAAACTCTTGGCCTCCTTACTATAGCTCATATAGAAACCCCTACAGTTAAACTCTTAGCCTCCTTACTATAGCTCATATAGAAACCCAAAAAGTTAAAGTCCTGAGAGCCAGCCAGAAGAATGCCAAGTGACAGAGTAGTCCACGCCCCTGGGCTTCAAGGTGGGTAGCATGATGAGGGAGACCCCTTCAAGGGTACCCCTTCCGAACCCTACTCCCTGGCTCTCTTAAAAGGGACCTTATTGAAAGGGTCTATATGCCCGAGGGTCCCCCTAATTCCATCTCCCACGAGGGCTTCGACCATTCATGGCTTCGGGTTTTAGGGTGTAAGGTATGCTTCATGGTTCAGGGGACTAAGAAACCAGGAATGTGAGGTTTAGGGTCCACGCCCCAGGGCGTTGAGAACTTCGAAGGTTTAGGGTTCAAGGGGTTTGGGGTTTCGCGTTTAGGGTTTTGGGGACCACTGGGAAAAATAGGCTTTAGAGCTTGTGCTTGTAGGGATTGTGAAAGGTCCAGGGACTATAGGGACGATGTGAATATGGGGATATGGGGTTTGGGGTCTAGGCTAGAGCGCTCGGGGGACTGTAGGAAAAATCGCAGATGTGGGGTCTAGGGTTTAGGGCAATGTAGGGCTTCGGGTCCAGCAGACTTTCGGGAAAACAAGTAATATGGGGTCTGGGGTTTGGGTAAAATGGGGTTAGGGTTTAGGCTTCTGGGTTCAGGGGGCTATTAAGACTCTACGCAGTTGTTTGGTTTAGGGCTTATAGGGTGTCCTTGCACCCCGAAGCCGTTCTCGGAGGATCAGAGGACTTAGTAACTAAGATTGTAAGTACCCTAATTGGGGCTATAAGTAAATCCTAAGCCCTAAAGCCCTAAACCTTAAACTCTAAATCCCTAGACCCTAATTATGGTTACCTTCTTGATAACCCAAGTCACCAAGTCCCATGATCCCTTAAGCAGGTTTAAGGGGACGGTACGGAAAACAGCAGATATGGGTAGGGTGCAGGGCTTGTAGGGTGTAGGGATTGAGGTCGAATCTATGAGGGTTTTAGGGTTATTACCGGCCTTGTAGGGGAATGTAGATGCCTACAATATACAGTAGTGCCATTCCTAGGTCTTTTTTTAAAGGGCCCTTTGGGGGTCCTGGCACACCCCCCCCCCCAATCGACACATAAACTGTAAACCCTTAACCCTATACCCTAAACTCCCAAAAAGAACCAGAACTCCGAATCCGCAAACCCCCACCACCGACCCACCCAGAGACTCCAATATCCCTTAATTAAGGAATATTCCTTAAATTATAGTAGGATTCCTAATATGATTTAAGGAATATTCCTTAATTAAGGGATATTGGAGTCTCTGGGCATAAACCCACCTCTGCTGCATGGGGTGACCATCTTGTGAAGTGTAGTGCCAGGTGGTCAGCCGCCCCTGCCTTTGGGATTGTCGGGTTATTTAGGGTTTAGGGCCCAGTTTTGGACGGTTTAAGGAATTTAGGGTTTAGGGAATTTAGGGGTTTAAGGTTCAAGGATTTTAGCTTTTTGGGCTAAGAGTTTAGGATTTTTAGGGTTTGGGGTTTAGGTTATGGGAGCGCATGCATAGTCTTGAGTAGTGAGTATCCATTACTACATATGCAGGACCCTATGCTGCTAGGGCTCTGTAACAGGTTCTATAAGGTTCCAAACGGTTTTCATTTCCCTAAACCCTAAACCTCGGAGGCCTCAAACGGTGGGATGAAGGTAGGTGGGGAATTCCCAAATGAGAGTCCTTATATAAGGGATCCTTGATCCTGCCCACATTCATCCCACCTTTTGAGGCCTCCGATAAACCCAAATCCCTAAACTTCTCGTGGATCTTGAAGTTTGAATTATCAATTGCTGTTGTCTAAGATTCCCGGAAGCCGTATGTAAACTACCCTAAACCCAAAACACTAAATCATTACCCAAAACCTTAGAACCCTTTTCTAATTATTGGAAACCCTTCTTCCTTATTGCGGCCGCCTTGTTCCGGTGTAGATCCAAGGCAGCGACGGGTGGAAGGCGATGCTAAGCACACCTTTGGATTTAAGTTCAGGGTTTAGGAGTTTCTGCGGTTTAGGATTTGGCGTTAGGCTTTAGGGCTTCCGGGGCTTAAGATTTAATCTAGGACCAATCCCTGAGACAATTACACTAGCCCCAACCCCTGATTGCTAAATCCCGGACCCGAGAGCCCCGAAATCCTATTTACGAATTCCTGTCCCTAAAGGCGTAGCAGAAACAGTATCGTTTAGGTACTGCCCCCTTACAGTAAGAGTCTATAATAGGGCTACTATTAAGATCCTAATATATCTATATTATGAATATTATTCAACTATTACTGGGTGGGGGCCGTACCCAAAGCATCGTAATCATCATCACCATCGTAATCGCCATTATGAAACAGCAAGCACACCGTCACGAGAGTCAACCTCATCGCACCTGGAAGTGCAACGAAGCAAATAGTCCAAAAACCATGACCACGATTTCAACATAACGGCTCGTAGTTTAGGGAAACATCCTCATCGGCAGCAGCATCAGCATGATACCCGGAGGCGCGCAAGCCAAACCGTTGCAGCGACATGATCGTGCATACAAACCTTTGCAGAGTGTTGTGCAGAGAAAGACTCGAAAAACACCAGCAAACCGTGTACACAGAACCCAACCCAAGCTGAATTTTAAACCCTGTGCCCCACAAAATCGATTCGACCCAACCCAAGGACACGAAAAAGGCAGAGGCCGAAAGAACTGAAGCAAGGCTTGCGGGATTTCTGCTTCAGGGTTTGGGGGTTGAGGGATTAGGGATTAGGGGTTTAGGGGTTGGTCTGGGGCTTAGGGTTACAAGGTTTCTCAGAGAACTCTATCGCGGCTCCTTCAGATTTCAGCTGACGAGACGATTGTCAACTACGTCTCCCTTGAATTTCAAGCGGTCCTGGATGCAGTTCATTCTTGGAGCCCTTGGAGGAGTCCTAGAAGGAACATTCATCCAAGGCCTTAAAGGAGAGCCCAACAGCCCAATGGATCGCAAAAACTGAAGGAATCCTTCAAGAAACCCGAAAACCTAAACCTAAAGAAAGCCAAAACCCCCAAACTGCAAACCTGACAGGAAAGCCGTAGGTAAGGTAAACCTAAACGCCGAAACCCTGACCCCCAATTAAACTAGACTCTAAACCGTAAACCCTAAACAGTACACCGAAACCCCTACACCTTAAACCTGAAACTAATGGCTGAGACGCTTGAGATGTGCGTCGCCGTGTACTGCGGCTGCAGAGACGGCGGCCTTGAAACCAACCGAGCCGGATCAAGGCGCTTTAGAGTGGTCTGTTTAAGTGTAGGGTTTAAAGTTAGAGTCTCGGGGTTTAGGGATTTAGGGCTTAGGCGGAGTTCTGCATTTTTTGTGCGAACAGTGTTTCACAAGGGTTGTCAAAAGGATTTTAGAAAGGCTTCATACAGGGTCATAGGGGTTCAAAGTATTATGGATGCATTTGGTTGGTGTTTTGATAGGACGTAAACAACTGTTTTGCAGGCTGTTCGAGTGCCGTATGCAGGTTTATCAGAGCTTGATAAATGGTTTCCCATGTCCATACGTACTTGCGCCCTAGTTGTAGTTTTCCTGCAACCCACATGTCTTTCCCACAACATTCACAGCCTGGGTCTCTGGACCACAGCTAGTTCTGATACTTTCCGTACAGTACTGCACTTGTTGCAAGGCATAGCCTTCAATTCAACGATCGCCCAGCACTGTTGAGCCCGTCAGTCAGTCAGTCAGTCTGTCTGTCTGTCTGTCTGTCTGTCTATCCGTCTGTCTGCCTGTCTGGTCTTTACAGACCTGCAACATTTACACACATGTGCGCACATAATGAACACTAGTATTGCTAATGCAAAGGTCATTAACATTGCTGTTATTGTTATTTGTATGAGTAATGGCATGATCGGCTTTTACCTGCCATTATTGATACGACTATGAGTAGTAATAACATCAGTATGAAACACCCTATGAGTATGACTACTTTTGATGATGTCATTGACATTGCAAGCCTTGCTCTGAGCATCATCATTATGTTAATATCCCTTAATTAAGGAATATACCTTAAATTATAGTAGGATCCTTAATATGATTTAAGGAATATTCCTTAATTGCGGGATATTGGAGTCTCTGGGTACCCAGAGGGTCCAAGTTCCCAAATAGTAGGGCTTCAGGGCCCAAAATCCATACTCTGAATGGTTTTTTGGACCTTGAAACCGTGTTATTTGGGCACTTGGACCCTTAGGGTTAATTATCATCATCGTCAGCATCAGACTGGTTAACATCCTCCAGCCCCCTTTACCCCGAAGTCCCAAACAGCTCGGCGCACGAGGGACCTTCAACTCCTCTATCTCCAGAAAGACAGCCCAAAGAACACGTACGGTTTAGAGTTTAGGGTTTAGGGTTTAGGGTTTAGGGAACTAGCGGCCTGAATGATTAGAATTGGTTTTTTAGGCTAAAGTAAACTGCACTATACTTGTAGTAATTAGTATTTGGCTTCTTCTAAAGTGTTTTCCAAGACGCCGCTTAAGCGCTTTGCCGCAGGTTTGACGAGGTTTCGACAGCGGGTGCTAGTAGCCGAAAGAACAATGGAGTCTGTCAGTGGAGTAAATCGAGCTGAACCTTGATGATCCAAACATAACAGCGGTGGTGCTGACAGGCATCATCGTCAGCATCAGGCCAATCATATAGAAAGCAAAAGTTGCACGGACTCGGAGAACGAACACGACCCAAATGGCAAAACCTATGTCCTGAAAACTCTAAACTCAACCCTCGGACGCCCGCATCTCACCAATCTCTGGCCGGGTACGAGAACGAGCTCAACTTCCAAATCATCAGGCCTTGGAGATGTCTTGAGGTCCACCTTAAACTACCGGGCCATACCTACTTCTGTGCAGCTTCTTACTATGATGAACCCTAACACGGATTCATAAGGCATAAGGGTCTTCCAAAAAGCAGGGTCTGATAGGTTAAAGTGGCTTATGCTTCTGCTCGTCAGTATCGACGGGGTGGCGCCAACAATAAGAAAAGCCAAATCTGTCACTGTTGGGTGATATTGTCACAGCAACACACGAACGTTACTCCAAATTTTCGACCCCTTGAAAAACCCTCCAAAAAATAGAAAACCTCAGTCCTAAGCCCCCAAACCCTAAACCCCCCAAAAAAAAGCAACAACAAAACGATTAAAGCAGCAGTGGGACGGCTGGTTGGAGAGCTGTGGGGTGGATCGGCGCCCACTGCCAGCCACCGGGTACCTGCAGGCTGGACGAGAACTGTTAAAGGGTAGTTGTCATATTGAGGACCCAAAAAGGGACCCTGATTGAATGATACTACAGTTTAAATTCTATGGGAGCTACAAAGGAATACTACTCGTAATCTCAACATTCTCAGACTTGCGGCGATCCTCACCGATTCCTCAGCCCTAAGGGTCCATGTGCCTAAATATTATAAACTCTGGCCTTCAAGTACTCCCTATATAGGTACTTTGTGGCCAAAGTATATACTGTTAGAGTACATGGACCCTTAGGGCTTAGGGCCCTAAACCCTAAACCCAAAGCCCTAAACCCTAAACCCTAAGCCCTAAAAAACCCTAAACCCTAAGCCCTAAACCCTAAGCCCTAACCCTAAAAAGCCCTAAACCCTCAGCCCTAAACAACCCTAAGTCCTCACCCTAAAAAGCCCTAAACCCCAAGCCCTAAACCCTAAACAACTCCCAGCCCTCTCTCCTCACTTCCAGGCTTAGGGCCTCCTCGCTGCAAGGCGAGAGCCGTCAGTCGCTGGGGCTCTCCTGCGGAGCGGGAGTTAGGTTTCTATACCCCCCCTTAAAAACCATCATAAAAACAATGCTTTAAATATTCTCCTGGCTTTTATATGAACCCTAAACCCTAAACATAATATCTTTAATATTCTCTTGGGTTTTATATGAACATAACTTAAACAATAATAAATCCTAAGGAGACGATAGGTTAAGGGTTTAGGGTTTCTAAGGGTGCTCAGGGATCCTTCAAGGGTTCCTCTGAAGGCCATCATTTAGAAGCTGCCCCCACCCTGTAATAGTGACTATAAGGGTTATATAGGATTATATTAGGGCCCTGATATATTCCTATTATACCACTATTACAGGGTGGGGGCAGCTTCTAAGCCATCATACACTAGGCTCCAAAAAGATGAAAACCGGATTAAGGACGATTAGTGCTGGAATTCCCTGGGTTTAGGGGTTAGGGTTTATAGTAAACCCTATAAAGTTGGAAACTGGATTAAGGCGAATTAGTGCTGGAATTCCTTATACTTTTTCTTAGGGATTGAGGCTACTGGGTTTCCAACTTTTGGGCTTCTCCTCTACAGGGGACTAAAGGTTGCCTACTCTATACTGAACTTAGAACCCTAGCAAAAATTGTAATGTTGTTTCTTAGGGATTATAAATTACAATAACCAAAAATTCAGAATTATTTTGGGAGTTAGATTGATGGGTTTTCGGTTTAGGGCTTGGCGGGGTTGCAGGGGTTTAGGGTTTAGGTGTTGTAGGGGTTCTAGATTGTTTAGCGGTTTAGGGTTTAGGGGTTTGGGGGTTTAGGGCTTCGGATTAGGATTCTTGTGCCTTTGAGTAGATGTTTTGGTGTTTAGGTTTATAGTGATTAGGAGAGAATTGAATCTTCGGGTGTTTTAGGGTTCAAATTTTCAATTTTAGGTGGCGCTTTGGGCCCCTCTTTGATTCCCGAACCTTGGCGACATGAAGTGCCCAGATACTAAACTTATATATACAAAAAAAGCAATCGAAATCACTTTTGGCGGGCCTAGAGCCGTAATTTGTGGGTACTTTTGCCCCACATCCCAATGGCCAGCACATTGAACCCAGAGACAATTAAGGACTTCATATGTGGGATCCTACTAAAATTCACAATTCCAGTGATATTCCTTAATTAAGGGATTTGGAGTCTCTAGGAAGACGCTCTACGGTTGATGATATAAACCCTGCATTACCTGAAGGACCCTAAGCTATGGGAATTGTGGTATATTCCTCATTATGGGGAATGCAGGATTTATATCATCAACCGTAGTATCGTGGACTAGTACTAATACTAATACTAATACTAGTACTAAAATTGAAAATTTAAGGGGTATTCCTTAATTAGGAGATATTGGAGTCTCTAGGAAGACGCTCTAGGAGGCCTTGATCGTCTGTGACGTGGAGACGCCAGGAGATCGTCGCCTCCAGAGGGGCCCAAAGGGCGTGAAGAAGTTAGGACTTGGGTTTATGGTTTAGGGTTTAGGATTGAGGGTTTAGGGTTTAGGGTTGCGGGTTGAGGGTTTAGGGTTGAGGGTTTAGGGTTTGCGGGTTGAGGGTTTAGGGTTTACGGTTCACGGCGTGAAGAAGTTAAGATTTGGGATTTGGGGGTTGGCAGTCGCAGATTATATGGATTACCTGTAGGCTCATACGCTGCCTTTTTTTGAGGGTACCTGATTTTGTGGCTAGGATCTGTTGTATAGATCGTGGATACCCGACAAAACGGTTTGGGTATGAGCCTGCAGCTAGGGTTGAAGGTTTAGGGTTTAGGTTTTGGAGGTTGGGGGTTTGGGGTTTAGGGCTTCAGGTTAAGAGGCCTTGAGATGTATGAAACCCCGAACCCTAGATGCTAAACCCCAAACCCTAAACCCAATTACCGAGACTTAAACCCTGAACCCTAACTGCTAAACCGTAGACCCAATTACGGAGCCTTAAATCATGAACCTTAACAGCTAAACCCTACAGAGCCTGAAAATCTGAACCCTCGATGCTATACCATAAGCCCTAAACCCCAATCACGGAGCCTTAAACCTGAACCCTAGATGCTATACCACAAGCCCGACATCAACCCTAACTCGAAAGCGACATTGGAAGGCCAAGCCCGTGCTTTGTAGGCCCAATGCATGTAGCATTGCTTGAAGCCCGAACACCATGTCTCAACGGGTCCTAGGTAGTTTTAGGGTTCCTTTAAAGGGTTCCTTTAAGGGTTTCTATAAGGCGATAGGGTTTAAAGGCTCCAAGGTACGTAAATAGTAGAATGTAGGGCTTCTATATGCGGAATACTTATTATGGTTTGGGAAAGTATCCCCCATAACAGTACCTACGACCCTTTGGGCGTGCAACTCTACCCCATCCTTCAAGTAGGTCCATTAATTACTCTCCAAACGCTAAGCCCGTGCTTAGAGGTCCAGGGCCCGATCAATCTGTACTTATAACTAACAGAAATAGCTACAGCCAGGGAATTATATTTGGGCTCAGTACAGTAGTAATCGGATCAAACTTTAAAAGATAAACCCTGCCAAGCACACCTTAATCTCTCAGGTTCCAAGCCTCCGAATTTTCGTCTGCATACAGCCAGTACATGGTCAACACGCTGTTGGCGCATCCTCGCTTGGACCCTATTCTAACATGTTATGATCTCGGGGGGGCGCTTAGGGTTCTGGGTAATGGGTTTGGCTCTCAGGGGGCTTCAAAGCCTTTGCAGCTAGATTCATGGACATGGTCAGTCAAACTAAGTCCAGCACCACGGCATTTAAGGTAAGTTTTGAGATCCTGCAGTAAGAGCCATGAGGAAGCCCTGAAAAAGTCAGATCCTAAAATCCCAGGTAAGTCCCAAATTGTCCGATAACCCCAACTCTTACGGGTCTTGGCCGATTCGTGCCAAAAGAAGAAACATCAAACCCAAAACAAGAAACATCAAACCCCAAACTCCCCCCTCCTAAACCCTATATAAGCACTGCCTGCTGTGTGGCAAGGCTGGAAGCAATCCTATAAGACATGCAAATGGATTTTTTAGTGTTTGGGGCTTGGGCTTTGACTTTTCAAGGCTTTTGAGCTCCGAGCGTGAGAAGTCCTGTAAGCAGCTGATGGCCATCGTTTGCCAGAAGCAAAACGTCTGCATCATGGGTCAACAGCCGAGGTGTCGTGCCAATCCTAAGCAAGTTTAATGTGGGAACCTGATTAAGAAACCCTGGGCCAATAACCAAAAATAGTATGACTCATCTAAAGAACCCTAACAAAGGCCCAAGGCTGCATAATCAGGTTCCTATATTAGGTTTGATCGGGGTCACGGGCTGTGGTGCTTCGAATTTCGGGTGTGAGCGGGGCGAGTGGAGTAGGCTAGGAGCTTCTCCTGCTGCTGACAACCCATGAATCCTAGGGTTCAGGAATATGTTGCGCATGTCTACATCGGTTTGCGGAAAGGTCTCCAGGCAGGGCTCAATACCCCAAAGCTATTCTAAATACCTTGATTCGACTATCAGGAAGCTGATGAGATTTCAAGTTATTCCTTCTGTTTAGTGGGCGTGCGACTCACTCTGTGTGTATGTGTGTATGTGTATATAACTATAGAGATATATACACATACATACATTTGTGTATAATATATATATATATATATACACATATATATATATATACATATATGTATACATATAGAGGCTTCGATAAGCTTTAAAAATCAGTCTCTACCAGAGATTCTTCAGCTGTAGCGGATGGAGCTGCCAGAAGTATACCTCTCCAGGGGGAGCAGACTTAATAGGGATCAGTGTTTAGGGCTCGGGTTTCGGGGTTTAGGGATGAGGGCTTCGGGGTTGAGATTTAGGGTTTACGTGGTGCTGCAAGAGAAACAAGTCCTACAGGAATAGCGATGGCACCAACAGCGGTAAATTGCAACCGGAACATCACGGTGATGGTGGCAACACGAACAGTTCGAACAAACAGCACCCAGACGTCTACATGTGAGCATGATGGTTGAATCCAAAATATAATGGCAATGGAAGTGAGAACGGACATGAGCATGAGCATGACAAAAACGATCGCGCTAGTAAAAAAACATGAGCATGCTCATAGCCATGATCCTGGTCATGAACATGCTCATGGTAAGGATACTGATGAATACGATGACAATGATTCTGATGATGATCCTTTTCATGTAAACATAACAGCGGTTCTGACTCGTGGTAATGACTTAGGTCATGGCAATGATGATAATAGCAACAAGCTAACTGTTGACTGCAAGAATATCATAACGCTGTCACACGAACTCAGCGACTAGGAAGGAATGTATTTGGAAACAGACCAAGATACTACCTATGCACCCTAACCCTAACCCCCAAAAAGACTTGTTCCTGAGCCTTTTCCTGTAGCCCCAAACACATGATTGCAGCACAAAGCAGCATAAGTCATGTACCTGCTTGTGAACACATGATTCCAAAATATACAGAATGCCAGAGCACGCCAGAAATGCCCTACATACGGCCGAAACCCCATTGATCAGCTCGAAAACCTGAGCTTCAAACACCAAATCCGAAACCCTACTCCACATGAAGCAGCAAACACACAACCTACGGGTCACGAATATCATGTAGAAATATGTGAACCCTACTATATTGAAATTATAGACCCAGGGTTTCTTCTAATCAGGTTCCGACATTACCTTTCTAACCTTAGAGCCCGAAACTCTAAACCCCGAACCCTAAACTAAACGCCTGCAGAAACCAAGAACCCTACATTACACCGAAAATGTTGGGATCCTTCGTTGTACAGAAATCCTAAGCCCGGGACCCAGAGCCCCAACTACTCTACCAACCGCCCGGCCATTTGGTAAGGGTTTAGGGTTTAGGGTTTAGGGTTTAGGGGTTTAGGGTTTAGGGTTTAGGGGTTTAGGGTTTAGGGTTTAGGGTTTTAGGGTTTAGTGTATAGGGCTGAGGGATTACGGTTTAGGGTTGTGGGTTTAGGGTTTGGGGTCTGGAACCTCGTTCTTGACTGCGACGGCCAATGCGAAGTCGCGCACCAACTGACGAGTGCAATTGGTTAAGGCTTTGCCTGTGACATAGTTCGGGATTCAGGGTCGGGATATAACTCTAGTCTAAACCATAAACTTTAAGCCGTCAGGGTAGGGACTCGGATTCAAGCCCAGTCCAGGGTTGAGGAGTTAGGGTGTGGGGTTTACGAGGTCGAATGTGCATGGGAGTGGGATTTGCGACTTGAAAGATGGGACCTCTGGGGATTTGCAGTCGGCTTACAGGGAACTCCAGAATTTGGAATATGGTTTCATGGTAGGATACCTTGTAATTTACCATAAAGGGTTTAGGATAATCATATTCCAACTTTCTGGCTTTTACTTTAGGGGCGTGAGCTTATTCTTATTCTCTTCCGCTGCTGCTGCTGCTGCTGCTGCTGTCGGGCATTGCGACTACGACTACGTCGATGTCCACCACTAGCAGATCTCATGATAGTGGCGATGTAACAACGGCAAGAACGGCTGCACTTGTAAATGCAAAAGAAGTAGAAGACTCAGCATCGCCACAAATGGACCAGCAGCTCGTGCCAGACGTCGTACTCGTGTGTAGTGTGTGGCAGGACGAGGAAGACCCAGCAGAACAGAAGGGGTGGGGGAGCAGAACCAAGAGCAGCGGTCGCTGTTGCGTGCGCCTGCGAAAACACGCGTCGCATGACCGATAATCGCAAGAAGCCAAAGCCTGGGGATCCACCGTACTACGGTTGATGATATAAATCCTGCATCACCCATAAGAAGGAATATACCATAATTTCCATACGTAGTTTAGGGTCCTTAAGGTAAGCAGGCTTGATATCATCAACAGTACTAGTCGTACGCACATAGCCCTCTGCCTTTCGTAAGACTAAGTTGCTTCAAGGTTCTATACGTGTCGGAAAGTGTGACAGAACGCTCTGAAGGTGTTATTTTGCCCGCACGCCCAAAACATGCACACTTTGCAACTACACCCCGGAACCCCCCGAACAAAATCTTTACATAAAGTGAGACTGAAATGAATGCAAGATAACCACCTACGGAGACGAATGTTACACTTACTTAGAACGACTTTGGGCCTTGCGCGAGCCGTGCAAGAAACCCGAAGCTAAATTCTGACACCTCTAAACAGATTCTCAACCCAATACGGAAAGCCAAAAGCGACCGCCCTACAAGGGTCCTTTAAGGGTGCCTGTAAAGGCTACTATAAGGGATACTATGAGGTCCTTAAAGGGTTTATAAGGGATCTTTAAGGCATCGCTTTATTACGCTGGAGCCCTTGCAAACCCAAAACCCGAAACTCGTTTAATAACCTTCAAGTCGAGCCGGGGAGCTGCCAGGGCAGAGGAAGAGCTCGGCATCGTTCTGCAGACGATCATCTTTGTCTGCGGAGCAAGCTTAGGATGTACGTTGGATCTACCCATATCTGACCTCGACCCTAAGCCAGACTCACATCTACCCTAAACCCTAAAGCCTACTGGGATGAAAGATGTTCGTCCAAGATTAACAGAACTCGTCGCCTTCATCCACAAGCTCCTTGACCTGAAACCTAAAAAGAATCCAAACGATTGTTTAAAAGTTCTTCAAGGGTCGTTCAAAGGGTCCGTTCAGATACTCAACCTAACCCTATAGTTCTCGAGTAGACCCCTGAAAACAAGGATGCTAATTTCTTGCTACTCTTCAGCTTCAAAACGGGACCCAGAGTTAAACCTAGGTAAGCGTCGGCAAGCCTAAACCCTAAAACCCTGAACCCTAACCCCTCAACTTTATGAGTTCTTCAAGAATGCTTCTAGGCCCGTTCTGTTCGAAAGCTCTTCATGGATCGTTGCAGGGCCCCTTAAGGTACCTAACGTATGGGTTTAGATGTTTATGGCTTGGGTTTAGGGCCATCAAAGTTTTAATAGGGTTTTGTGGTATATTCAAGTAGAAGTATTAGCAGGAATCAGGGATAAGGGTTTAGGGCCTTATAAGTTTTTCGATGGTTTTGGGGTATATTTAAATTCGAAACATCAGCCGGAACTCTAAGGAGTTTTTACAGGCAATTACCTAAGCCCTATAGGAAGGGGTCCTTACGTGATCTTTGGGGGGTCTTCAAGGGAAGTTTCAGGGTTGGAGCTGAACCCTAACTTGGAAGGGCAGTGGGCTTAGTAAGTAGGTTATAAGTAGGGTTATAATTGGGGTAACTCCATATAGGGTACTTATAACTCTACTTATAACCTACTTACTAAGTCCCCTGCCCTTCCAAGAAGTCCTAAACTCCTAAACTTTAAACACTAATCGCCTTCGAGTCCCTATAGAATTCTTCTGTATGTGGCCCGCAATCCTGGTCACTGGTCTAGTACTAACATAGGAGTTAGGATTAGGGGGGCTTCGGGGAATGTAGACCTTTCAAGGGCTTAGGATTTAGGGTTTAGGGGTTTAGGGTTTGTTGTTTTTTAAAGTTAGGGTGACGTCCTTCTTTGTCTCTGCCTGCGCGTCTCCCAACAACATGACAAAAATTTTAGGGGTTTAGGGTTCAGTCCCTCTTAAGAGAGGCACAAGTAGGGTTAGGAAGGGTCCCCTTCAAGGGGTCTCCCTAATAGTACCTGGGGACGACAGCAGGCTAGAAAAAACCATGGAAAACCCCGGTGAAAGCCTACAAGAGCCTATCAAGAAGCCTTATCGAACCCTAGAGGGAACTACGATGAGAGCATATACCCCCAAACCCTGAACCCTATTTCAAACCCTTTTAAGAACCCCGGCACCTGAAACCTCAACTCCTGAACAATCAAGGCCCGCATATTACCGGCCCTGAACCCTCAACCCTGTTCACCCTAAACCCTAAGCCCTAAACCCTAGTCTAATAGGCCCTAAACCCTAAGCCCTAAACCCTAGTCTAATAGGCCCTAAACCCTACGCCCTAAACCCTAGTCTAATAGGCCCTAAACCCTACGCCCTAAACCCTAAGCATTCTAATTATCAAGGCCCCCTAAACGCTAAACCCTTAACCCTACTCTAATTCTCAAGGCCCCTACACGGAGAAGACCGGTGAAAGCCTATAAGAGCCTCAAATATAGAACCCTATGGAGAACTACTATATCTAGTTCATGACTCCTTGTTGGGTTTAAGTACGCATACAATTTTAAAATGTTACCCAACTATGACAAAGATATACGCCAAACCCTAAACCCTACTCCAAACCCGCCTCTTCACAGTGGGCCTCAACGTAGTCCACGCTGCACGAGGGCATCTCCTCGTGCTCGAGGCAGAGGCTTTCTGGGGGTTTAGGGTTTGTGGTTTTAAAGTTTTAGGGTGTAGGGTTTAGGGTTGAGGGTTTCTGGGCTTTGAAGTAATCAAGCGGAAAACCAAAAAAAGATAGCATACTGGGCCCCATAACCCTGTTCTAAGCATTCACGCCCCTATACTAAATACTATCATTAGCCCTTACTTATAGTAGCCCAAAAAGGGCCGAATAAAGGAACCCTAGGAAATCCCTCCTGAATCATTAAGGCCCCTCAATTTTTTAAAAAAAATGAGGTTGAGGGTGTCGGGCTCATGGTCCGGGGCTTAGGTTCAAGGATTTAGGGGTTTAGGGTTTTTGACTTGAGGCTTTGGATTTGGGAGTTCCCGAAAAGTTGGGGTACCTTATTTTGGGGTCCTTATAATACTAGGATACCCAGTAACCTAAGAATAAGAAGGCCTCTCGTTTTTGGTATTGGGTAACTTTATAAGGAACCTAGGACTACAAAAAAGGAATAAGGGTACTACTGGGCATCCTAGTCTTACTATTTAGGCAGCTTTCAGAGTTTAGGACTTGAGGCGGCGGCACAGAGTCGCCTATTCAGGCAGGCCTGGTGACCTCCCTTCCAAACCCCTGAAAGCTTTAGGACTTGAGGCTTAGGATTTAGGGTCTACAGCTTTCAGGGTTTAGGACTTGAGGTTTAGGATATGTGTTTTTCGAGCTTGGTATGTTTAGCCCCTCTTGTCCCAGATAAGCAGAAAGCAGATGAGAGATCCCAGTCGGGAAGGAGTTTAGGCTTGAGGGTTTACGGCTTCGAATGGCTCCGTGGTCATCTTTTCTTGATAGGCATTATACTTGGAAGGGCAGGGGACTTAGTAAGTAGGCTATACGTAGAGTTATAAGTACCCTAAATGGAGTTACCCCAATTATAACCCTACTTATAACCTACTTACTAAGTCCCCTAAAGCCCCTCCAAGTAGACCCTAAACCCTAAATCCCATAGACCCCTTTAAGGAACCCTATAGATCCCTTTAAGGAGCCCTTTAAAGAGCCCTTACTAAGTCCCCTGCCCTTCCAAGTAGCCTTCAGGGTTTAGGAAGTTCAGAGAGTTCCCCAAAAAAGCACTTAGGCAAAAGTGAGGATCGGGATATCCCGTCTAATGAAGCCCACTAAGGTAGGGATATCCCTATATAATGCTTATGCTTCTGTCCTTTTGGCTCCCTATTGAAGTGGGGCTTGGGAGGATCGTAAGTTCGGGGCCTTAACGATTAGAATGGGGTTTTGGGATATATGATGCCATAATTTAACGGAAGACCCCCAAGAAGATCTGGGTAGTTATTCTAGGTTGGCCCTTTAAAGCCTCTGAAAAATATTCTTAAATAGGGTGCTATTAAGCCCAACAAGGGAAAATAAAAAAAAAAAAAAAACAAGGGCCTACCTAGTGTGTTTGGCCCTGCTTTGTTTGATGACTTCGAAAGCGAACGACTAGAAAACGGCGCGACTAGCAGGGCTTGGAGGTTCAACTGCCTTAGCACAGGGACGAACCGAAAAAAATCCAGTATCCCTGAATTAAGGAATATACCTTAAACGGTTTAGGGTTTAGGGTTTTAGGATTTAGGGTTTAGGGTAAATCATATCAGGGATCCTACTATACTGTGAGGCATATTCCGCAATGAAGAGAAATTGGAGTCCCTGCGAAGCTCTTTGGGCAGTTGAGGCCCCTAAGCAGACAGGCTGTCTTTTGGTATTTTGTTGGCTTAAGGCTTAGCGTCTTTGAGTTTGGGATTTAAGGCTTCCGGGGCTTAGGGTCTGTGAGTTGAACGCTTTTTGTGTTTAGGGTCTCTTTGCAGACAGGCGGCCCAAAAGCAGACTTCCTTGTCATGGCTGGTGATGAGAAACAGTCCATCTTCGGATACCTGGGCAGCACAAAGCCCCACAACTGTGTGCCTAAACCGGGTTTAAGATGTCGGTTTCAGGCGGTGTGGAAGTTGAAACAAGCCCGTCATATACAACGGAAGATAACTTCCATGCCAGTAGGAGGCTGTGTGACAAAAACAGCGACTAGTCTCAGCATGTCACAACAACGACATCAACGTCCATGAGTGACGGCGACAACGACGAGGAACAGAGGTCATCATTACGTAGTACTCGCAGCCGACAGCCATACTTCCCGAATGCCTATGTGGGGTGGCAGTTCAAACTTCCAAAAAGACTAACGTATACGAGCCTCAAAAGTTGAAAAGTTGGGTGTTGGGCCACTGAGCAACCATTCATGGTGAGATACAACCATGTCCTGTGCACAGCTCCAACCGCCGCAGCGCATCAGCTGCAAAGGCTGATCGGGCACGGTCCTCTCTGGCTCAAGGCTGCGTTTAAAACTTCGGGTTCTGAGGTCTAGGGTGGGGTTCGAGGCTTAGGGTTTGGGGCTTCTTCTGCTGCAAACCCCACACCTGCAACTACAACGGCTCACAATTTAAATCGCTAACCCCCTTGCCGATAAACCTCACACCATACTCTACCTAAACCTTAAACCCTAAACCATACAAACCCTACACCCTAAACCATACAAACCCTAAACCCTAAACCAGCAAGCCCTTCATCGCATGAAGCACCCTCATAATCTCACGTTGGCTCTAGTCCTTGATTAGGTGATGTTGGGCTCTGGGCTTCATGAAACCTCGGTTTAGGGTTTAGGGTTTTGTGGCTCTTAAAAAGGAATCGGGGAATGGATCCCTATGATAGCCCCTTAAGCGGCCCTCTAGTAGTCCCTAAAACCCATTCCCCCATTCCCTACCAAGAACCAGACAGTCTCTTAAGGCTAGGGCTTGAAGGTTTGGCTTGGGGTTCAGGGGCCATAAGTTCAGGGTAGAACGGACGTACAGAAAGCAACTCCAGAGAGGCCTGAAAACCAAAGCCCAGCCAAAGTCGGCAAGACATGAAGTAGGGTTAAGGGTTTAGTGTTTAGGATTTGAGGTTTAGGGTTTACAAACAAAAGAATGGAACTTCGGGTGATGATCCAGGGTTTAGGGTCTAGTGTGTCTTTGTTTGTTTACTGTTTAGGGTTCAATAATACTGCTAAGAAAAGAATAAATAACTAATAACAGTAACCATATCTATCATCATAGCCACAGTAATAACAGCAACTCTAAAAAGATGGTGAGGACGATTACAACAAACGTGGTCAGACTCATTCTCATAACCGTCGCATTCACCACCGTCATCATACTAGAAACCGAAGCATATCCATACCTGTAACCCAATTATGCTAAGATTCTTTGGGAGCCTTGATGATTTATTAGGATTGAGTTAAGGGGTATGTTCAACTATACATATGACAAGGAGCCCTACGGAAAAAAAATGTGTAATGCTTCCGGCTTCGATCTATATTGAACAGCAACCTAGTTCTGCAACCCTGAACCCAAAACCCAAAACCCTACTAAACCCCTAAACCCTAAACCCCTAAACCCTAATCGCTTGGGGTCCAGTAGACTTCCATGGACTTGATCAGTCCTGGGCTTTTCCCCACTTGAGGCACCGGGAGGATCCAGAAAGTAGATCCCCTAATTTGGGGCCCTAATGGAACTTAGTAGGGTTCCTTAAAGGGCTCCTTTATGGGATCCTTTAGGATTTAGGGTTTAGGGTTTAGGGATCTAGAAGGGAAAGTAGATCCCCCAATTTGGGGCCCTATACTACTTGGGGTACTTTATAGGAACCCCCAATTAGGGATCTACTTTTTGGATCCTCCCGGGGGTCTGGGACACGGGCCATTGGTCTTTCAGGCTTCGGGGCTTGAGGTTTCGGGTTTGGGGTTTTAGGGCTTAGGGTTACGGGTTTAGGGTTTGGGGCTTGGAGTTTCAGGGTAAGGCTGTGGGGCTCTTCTGGTCGGTGCTTTGCCTTTGTGGGCTCCTTGCCGTCTGCCTAAACATGGGCCCCAACTTAGCCTTATTGAGCTTCAAAGTAAGGGTGTAGGGCTTTTCGGTTTGGGGGTTTGGGAGGTTCTCAGCTGAGGATCTAGGATTCAGAGCTTGAAGCTTGGGGCTTCCCAGAGACTCCAATATCCCTTAATTAAGGAATATACCTTAAATTATAGTAGGATCCCTAATATGATTAAAGGAATATTCCTTAATTAAGGGATATTGGAGTCTCTGGATTGGATGTGGAGTGTAGGAGTCTTGGAGCATTAGCTTGTGACTTAAAACCCTACAACTCTCACCTGCAGCCCGACAAAATATTACGTTATGACCAAGCTCTCCATGAACGCCTTTGTTCGGCTTTTGCGCATAGTGTTTCTGAAGTATCTGCAACCTATAGTCCGGATCACAAAATCTGACATAGTAGAACACGGTATAGTATTATACTACAAAATCATATTAATCTAGGACCCAGCGACGGCTGTGGATCTTCTGGGCGAGCGCCAGTAGGCAGAGGATGCGCCCCAGCGACATCTGGACAACCACGCGCAGGACGCGCGGGCTGGTGATGTCTAAGGGTTGTACTTGGAAGGGCAGGGGACTTAGTAAGTAGGTTCTAAGTAGAGTTATAAGTGCCCTAAATGGAGTTACCCCAATAAAAACCCTACTTATAACCTACTTACTAAGTCCCCTGCCCCTCCAAGTACAGGATTTGCTAGGACCAGGGCCTTCATGGAGGCTTTAAAGGAAAAGCCAGAAAGTTGGAATATGATTATCCTAAACCCTTTATGGTAAATTATAAGGTGTCCTACCCTGAAACCATATTCCAACTTTCTGGAGATCCATGTACAGGGTCTTAATGATTCAAAAAAGTCTTCAGGATGCCCAGAAAGGCCAACACCCCCTGCAGAAGAATGCTGTGGCTTGAAGGCTTAGGGGTGTTGGGCTTTGGGGCTATGAGGGTTCAGGGGCCTTTAAATGATTTCTGTGAGGGCTAAGGGGTTTAGAGGTTAAGGTTTAGGAGTTTGGAGGATTGGGGTCATGTGGTTTAAAGGGTATTTAAAACGGCTCTATACACAAGGGTGGAGCCTTAACAATTCGAACAGTGCTCCAACGGTTCCTTTGAGATAGATAAACGTTATATAAGGGTTCGAGATTGTTTTAATTAAGGAGCCCTGCTAAAGGAACAATAGTGGCAATTGAAGGCTTCTAGCTTATCCAGTCCCCGTTCCCCCGACACGGAGAGCAAACATGGTTCAGGGTCCAGGGTCTACGGTTGAGGGTTTTAGGTCCTATGAGGATCTACGGCTACGGGGTTGGTTTAGGATTTAGGGTCAGTTTAGGCGACTAGGGTTTGGGGTCTGCGGTTGAAGGTTTAGGGGTTAGGGTTGCGAAGACCTGTGCCCCGAATTGTAATCCCGAGCCCCTGAACCCAGAGACTCCAATATCCCTCAATCAAGGACTATACCTGAAATTATCGTAGGATCCCTAATATGATTTAAGGAATACTCCTTAAATTATGCCCAATATGAAGGAATATTCCTTAAATTATGCTTAGTATGATTCAAGGAATATTCCTTAATAAAGGAATAGTGGCGTCTCTGGGAACCCTTGCTTCCTAGAAGAGATCCCCCGCCTTCCGGCACGGACTCCCCCATGGTGCGAACGCTCGGGTGGGCGGTCGGGGTGTTTTAGCTCAGGGTTTCAGGTCGAGGTTTAGGGCTTAGGGTTTTTAGGGTTTAGCTTTAGGGTTGAAGGGCTTGGCTTTGGGGAGGTTAGAGGGTTGGGGGGTCAAGCACTGCTTCAAACTTGGGCTAAGACGTTGGGCTTATATGTTTAGCACTTCTTTCGAACTTTGCTTAATGTTGCCGTTACCTCTGATGGCTCTGATCCTGCGGTGAGTACCATGGTGCTTCATTGCACTTGGATCCGAAACGGCAGCTCGGAGGGCACCACTTACCGAAACTACCCAGTAATTTTGCAATCTACCTTAAATCATATTAGGGATCCTACTATAATTTAGGGAATATTCCTTAATCAAGGACTATACCTGAAATTATAGTAGGATCCCTAATGCGGTTTAAGGAATATTCCTTGATTAAGGGATATTGGAGTCTCTGGGTACCTGTGCTTCATGGCTGCTAAGCCTCGGAACGCGAGCTACGTTGGCCGATGCTGCTGATAATGAGACCGGTAGTGATGATGGTCATAGGGATGGTGTAATGTGAAGGGTAACAACGATGGTGATGATGGTGGTATCGGTGGTGTGACGACCTGTAGATCAGATACGGCTGTTGCTGCCACAGTTGCCCGTACCAACACGACACATGCAGCTGAGACAACGGCAACGAGTCTCTCCATGACCACGTCTATGACTTCGACTTGACTGCAACCGCCCCGACCAAATCTGACGACGACGCCTGACGACAGGTGCATGCACGTATTACTTGCAAAAAAGACCGCTACAAAACTGAATCCTAAATCTGAAGACCCCTGTGCTCCAATCCTTTAGGGCTTTGAGGTTTAAGCTTTAGGGTTAGGGTGTAATCAACCCTAAAGCCTAAACCCGAATCGATTTGGGCTTTGAGGTTTAAGCCTTGGGGTTTAGGGAACAAGCTACAATGTTTCTCGAAGCTGCCGTCGCGGCAAGTTAGGGTTTTCGGTCTAGGGTTAAGGGTTTATTGCCCCGCACGGCAAATCGAAGCTCCACACTTTGAACCCTGGAGTACTGGACGCTGAACTTCAAATGCTATCAGACATCACAGTCGCCCAAACCTAACCCCAGAACCCAAACCTAAACGCTAAACACTAGCCCTAAACCCTAAACCCTGCCCCACACCCCAAGACCCAAAACCTGAATGCTCGACCCTGGCCATAACCCTAACCCCCCTTGGCCCACATCCACATGTTGAGGCAACCTGTATGATCTCTCCCTCCTCCAGCTTCCGCGTTTCTGCGGAACCCTGGCGAGCTCTTGGGCTACGGGACGTGAGTTTGTCTAGTGTTCAGGATTTAGGGTTTAAGGTTTAGGGTTCACCTTAACCCTGAATAACTTACCCTGTTTAAGGACTAATATGAGGATATCACCCTAAACAAGGTGGGTTACTCAGGGTTAAGGCAGGGTTTAGGGTGGAGCATGGAAATTGAACCCTAAACCCTAAACCCTAAACCCTAAACCCTATAAACCCTATAAACCCTATAAACCCTATAAACCCTATAAACCCTATAAACCCTATAAACCCTAAACCCTAAACCCTAAACCCTAAACCCTAAACCCTATAAACCCTATAAACCCTATAAACCCTATAAACCCTATAAACCCTAAACCCTATAAACCCTAAACCCTAAACCCTAAACCCTAAACCCTAAACCGTGAGGTACGGGGCATCGACATGAGGGCGATCAAGCCATGCTGGGCTGGGGACCTTTGGTTGAAGCCTTATAAGTACCCTAAATGGAGTTACCCGAACTATAACCCTACCTATTACCTACTTAAGAAGTCCCCTGCCCTTCCAAGTGGCTTTTGGGTTTAGGATTCCAGGTTGTAGGGCTTAGCGAATTAAGGTAAAAGCCAGAAAGTTGGAATATGATTATCCTAACCCTTCTATGGTAAATTATAGGGTATCCTACCCTGAAACCATATTCCAACTTTCTGGAGTTCCCTTTAAACCCAAATGCCCCCAAGAAGAGTACCCAGAGACTCCAACATCGCTCAATTACGGAATATACGAACCTTAAAATTTTCGCAGGATCCCTGAATTAAGGGATATTGGAGTCTACATCCATGTCCTGACCTAAACCCGGAACCCTAAAGGCCTCAAAGCTTGTATACTATTTAACAACGCGGTTTAGGGCTTTCTCCGAACAAGACCTTGATGCAAAACTCTTGCGAAATCCCACACAAAATGGGGGTTTCCGAAAATAGGGGACCGTAGTACATTACCCTAAATAGTAGGATCCTTATTATAAGGACCCCGAAATAAGGTACCTCTCTTTTCGGAAACTCCCAAATCCTGGCGGCATGGCAGAGGCAGGCTTGCTCTCCAGCGCGACGCTCTCGCTGCAAGTGTAATGCCTAGGTTTTACCATTTGTAAGGGCTCAGGCTTCCGGGTTTTATAGTTTAGGGCTTCCTAAACCCTAGACCCTGAACCCTGAGTTTTATGGCTTAGGGTTTCGTAAACCCTAAACACTAAACCCGAAGTTCTATGGAAACCCGTCCCTAAACCCTAAACACAAGTTTGGGGTCCTACAACTATACTGAACTTAGAACCCTAGCAACAAATTTTAGCTGTTTCTTAGGGATTATAATAACCAAAAATGAAAAATTATTCCCTAAACCCTAAACCCTAAACCCTAAGTACCCCTAAGACAACAGCTCTTGAACCCATCATCTCCAACCCTGACTGATTCTCGGAGAGCCCCAATTTTTTTCCCAGGAATATACGGGAGTTTCCGAAAATTTGGGGTACCTTAGGGTTCCCTTAAAGGGTTACCATATAAGGGTACTATAAAGGTTCCTTTAAAGGGCTCTATAAGGGTTTAGTATTTCGGAAACTTAGGAGTACCTTCTTTTGGAGTCCTTATCATATAAGGATCCTACTATTTATGGTACTATATTAGGGTCCCCTACTCTCGGAAACTCCATACCTGAACTCATGATCTCAGGCCCCGTATATCGAAAGGTACATTTCCTAATTGAGGGGTTTGGATTAATTACGTACCTGGGCCCTGATCAGTGATGCTATTCCTCAGGTTCTTGACTACATTAGAATGTATCCCAAAACCCTATTGTTCCTGACTACACTAGAAGGTATCCAAAACACTAGAAGGTATCCGAAAACCATCCTTAAACCCTAAACCCTAAACCCTAAACCCCTAAACCCTAAACCTCTAAACCCTAAACCCTACACCGCCCCTCTACCCTAAGACCGCTCCAGGGCCTGCGAGGTCAGGCTTTACTCCAAGTACTCTGCGCGGCTCATCCAAAAAGTAGAGCCATTGATTTGGGAGTTTCCGAAAATAGGGGACCCTAATAGAGTACCTTAAAAATTTGGATCCTTATTATAAGGACCCCAAATTAAGGTACCCCCAAATTTCGGAAACCCCCATTTGGGACTCTACAAATAGTAAAGGGTACTATACAGGAACCCCCTTTAGGGGATCTACTTTTTTTGGCTCTTTCTAGCGATTCTGAGAAGTCAACCAACACTTGATCCCGCCCTTGGCGGTGGCCGCCCATATATTAAACCCTAAACCCTAAACTCCCTACTTGAAGGGTCATGGGACTTAGCAACTAGGGTTATAATTAAGGTATATAACTATACGTATAGTTATTTATAACCCCAGTTAAGGTACTTATAACCTTACTTACTAAGTCCCATGATCCTCCAAGTAGACACCTCCCAAGGCCCAAGGCGCTTTGGGTGCCCGGCCATAACGATCCTAAAAGGATATGCAGCCGGTAGCCCCAAGGACTCCAATATCCCTTAATTAAGGGATATACATAAGGTCTAAGAGTTCCTTACAAAGGGAA